CTCTATCACAGAGTTCTTTTGCTGGGAAGTTGAGCTGGAAGTTATTAGAAACTCAAATGAAATGTTTGCCTCTCTTAGTGGCCTGGAGGGGTTCTCTCATGGCAACTAGACTCCATTCTCCATTTTATAGCAACTAGTGAGTCAAATTTCCTAAGGCAGCTGTTATGATTGGTTGAGATAGTTACCGGTCTATAACAAATTAAATTTGCTGAATTATTTGGGTCAAGCTGTCTCATGGACCATGGCTAATTCATGGATGTGTTGCCATTGGGTTGAGTGTCTATTCCTCACTCTGTCAGCTGTCGTTCCTGAGAAAGTACAGCCTATAATTGTTTTCTTGAGTTAACTAAATGTGGCTAGGTAATCACCTATTATTATTACTACTACTGATAGAAGTTTTTTATCTTGTGCAGTCAGGACTTTGTCCAGAACCTTATATGCACTATATTATTGATTTTTTTCAACATTCACATTTCATCAACCATTTCAAATAAAATCTCATCATCTCTACCTTTCAACATTACTGTTCCTGGTTTCTTTCAGCCACAAGAGGGACATTAGGCATGATGAGGGCTGTGACAGATGTGACAGGTGCCAAGGGAAAGGAACAGATTTTATGCAATGGAAGTTTCAAAGAGATAGAGAATATTCTGTTCTAGGTCCACCAGAGGAGGCTTGTAGGATGAGCTTTGACTTGACCTAAGGCACAATGTATTAATTAGGGGTCCAAATGAAATTCATGGCAGCTATGCTGGGGAAATAAGGTTCTGGGCTCTTCTCTGTTAGCAGGAGGAGGGCTTCTCAGATTGCAATCCTTTTGGAAATACTTAGCATCAAGTCTATTTCCTGTTATTTCTGTCCCCGGTGCCCCCCTGCCAAACAATGCTAAGAGGACAGGGGAACAAAGCTAGAGTATTCTTCTGACTGACAATTGATTGTATGCAGAAATGAGACTAAAATTATATAATCTGGATTCAATATAGTTGGGACATTTAGACATCATTAAAAGGATGAGAGTAAATATTCAAAATGTATATATCTGACAAAAGAGTCCCATCAATAATAGGTAAAGAACTCCTACAAACCAAAAATTAAGACAGGTAACTCAAAAGAAAAAAAAAATTTCATGGCTAAAGATCTGAACAAATACTGTATAAAAAGATATCCAAATCACCAATAAGCATATAAAGAGGCATTCAGCTTCAACTGATCGTCAGGGAAATGTACAGTAAAAATCACAATGAGACACCACTACATATCCATCAAAATAGCTAACAGGAAAATGGTATAAATTATCAAATGTCAGTGAGAATGTGGAGCAATCAGAATCTTCCTTCACACACTGCTGGCTGGAATGCAAACTGGCATAACTACTTTGGAAAATTCTTTGTCAGTTTGTGAGGCCTAAAGCAGAATACCCAACTAAAGTGGACCAAACTCCTTATTCATGAAAACTAAGAAATAACAAATTTGTGTGGTTTTAGATCACTAAGTTTGTAGTGGTTTTTTACACAGCAATGGAAAACTGATACTCGTAGGGATATTTCCAACAGAAAGGAATAAACGTGTTCATCAGAATACATAGACAACAACACCTGCAGAAGCAACATTTACAAAATCCTAAAACTAAAAACAACCCAAGTGAACAAGAGGGGGACTTAGGGAACAGTGATAATGTTTTATCTCTTGATTTAGTGCTGGTTCTGTATGTGTGCCCAGGTCATGAAAATTTATCAAGCCGTGCTCTTTCTTAAATTATGTTATACTTCCATAAAATTAAATGACCAGAAGTTTATTCCTTCATTACATAACAACACAATTATTATTAGATTGAAATTTAAAAAATTACATGTATAAAAGTGGTCACATGATTTTACTTGTATAATCATACTAACCTCAGTCCTACATGGATAAAAAATAAAACATATCATAGTAAAACTAAAACTTTTAATTGTCAGTTGTTTGGATTTTTATCTTAACTCTCACTTGATTTTTGGCCAATCCTTAACACATTCGCTAATAAAAAAATTTTCATTTTCTTTTTCAAAGGAATTAAAATTAGTAGTGTATTAGAATTTTAAGGCAATCTTTAGAATAATGCCTTTGTCATTATTGTAAACTTACTCATTCTTCTGGAAATATGCATCTTCTCTTTGGGCTAGGTCATGATAAAACAGAAAACTTTAGTCTCAACACACCTTTCTGAGGGTAAAGTTATAAGTATTTTTATTGTATTTTAGAGCAGACATATAATTGTCTGCTCATGGTCTTGTAAGAGTTAAGCAAAGCAACCCACAAATATTTATTGAGTACCTTTTATTTAGTACCTGTTAAATATAGAGGCTATAAAAAGTATATACAGTATATATATACTCTTGGAAGATTTACAATCTATCTGAAGACACATATTCATATGCATTGATTAATGACATAGGTTCATACGTCAATATCAAATGTGTCAGATATTCTTTAAAAAAGTAAAAAGTAAGAAAGAAAGGGAAAAATATCCGAATTTCAAAATGGTTCCCAAAAGGCAGAATTTTGGCAGTCAGGGAAGACTTCCTGGAGGCAGCATGCTAGAAAAACAAAATTATTTTCCATAAAGTTAATTTAAATCTGAGGTTTTTTTTTTTTTTCCCCCCACTTTCCAGGTATGAGTAGTAACTTTCAACCTCTTGGAGCTTTAAGTTTTCATCTGAGAATTAGAGCTGATGCCAGTAATTTCTGCCTCACAGATTTGTGAAGTTAGATGAGATAAGGTAGTAAGTATGAGTTCCTTGAGATTTTAAGGTAAGTATATTGAGATTTCAGTTTATTTACAATGAGATTGTCTCTATACCTTCTTGCTCAAAACTGTAAATCCTTTCTTAACTGTTCACCTCTATCCAAAAGGAAAAAATAAGTAAATTTCTTGGACAATTAATACATTATGCTATTATCAGTCTCAGCAATACCTAGATCTGGTTATGTTTCTAAGGTCAAATCCTAAGGGCACAGTTTCGAAAGGAGAATTAAAGAGGAGTTAGCAATGTCTGTCTACACTATGGAAAGGTACAAGGTAGGGAAGGAGAGTAACAGGTAATTTGCATCAACTGCAGCCCTTTTACAGAGTTGATTTTTTTTTTTTTTAAGGAGCCTTTTTAAAGAGCCCGATGTCATGTCCCCTTTCAGCATACCCCGAAGGCCAACATACCCTGCAGAGCCCTTAGTTTGGTGTGGTATGTACTATGGGGGTAAAGACCAAAAGTTTATCTCTGAAAGATTTGGGTTTAAATTCTTGGCTGTTTTCATCTTGGGCCTTTATCTGAGCCAATTTCCTTATCAGAACCATAAGCTCAACAATAATAGTAGCTTTCTCAGAATTGTTGAGAGTATTAAATAAGAATACATGTAGACTCCATCACATAAAGGTGCCCTATAATGTTAGTAACAATCACTACTATATTTACGGCGCCTGGGTCCTGGATACTGCCAAGTTTGGGGTGGAGGTGGGTGGGAGGAAAGGAGGGTCTGCTTGTTGTTTTGCGTTGGCGGCACTCAGGAAGCAGTCCCCAGGCCCTGGGCCAGAGCGGCAGCGGGCTGCGCCCTCAGCTGGCGTCTCCTCTCCCCTGCTCCACCCACGCTTACCCGGAGCAACAAGTTCCTTCTGCAAGACCCGCCCGCGCGCCACTGGCAGACCCGGCGCTCTTCCCAGACCTCTGTCAAACCCGTCGTCAAACTTTGGGGTCGAAATCGCGGCTACCAACGCCCTACGGAGGCGGGAGAACACCAGCATGTGAAGGAGGCTTCGCAGCGGCTAGAGGGAAGGCGGGAGGCGTGGGAAGTCGGGACAGAAGGGATTGATTCCCAGTTCGCGCTGCCCTTGAGAGGCAAAAGCAGCAACCGAAAGCACCAACTGCTCAACTCAAGCTTCTCTCCTGGGACCAGGGGGGTAGAACTGGGGCCCGGAATCCCACAGACCTCCCTAAATCCTCCAGGTTCCAATCGCCCCGGTTTTTCCTTGCACCTTCACTCCACCCCACCCCTCGCTAGGTCCCCTAAGGACACTTGAGATCCTTGGCAAGATATTTCTCTGCAAGAGCAAGTAGGGCAGCCACGGCCCCCACCTGGAGCTGTCGGCTCCCTTGCCCTCCCAAACTGGGTACCCTGGAGTCTCCAAAGGAGTCGTGAGGCATCCTAGGCTGGGAACCTCATCCAGCTGCCCAAACGGTTGAACTCTGACAACTTCTATGGGGATCCCCGCCTTCTTGTGGGAAAGCCAAGCCGGCCGCCCACATACCAGGAGAGACACCCGACTTCTCCGTGGGAAACTCCCCTCCAAATCTACCTCTTCAACGTCTACAGCTGTGAGTTGAGAACTGGAGAGCTAACTGAATACGCTTCGGGGTGGGCAGTCGTGGGCGGGGCGAAGGCGGGAAATTCAGCCCAGATTTTGGAAAGAAAAACCAGTTCTGTCTCCAAGTCTCCTGAAACCAGGCAGCTGCTGTCTCTGGAGAAGAGCAGGGATCGAAGTCAGGGAGGGAAGTCCTCCAGGAGCGGGGCTCCAAAAGCACGGGGGTGGGATCGCAGTGTCCAAGCTCCCAGCCCTGTCCGTCGGAAACTACTCTTTCTCTGGGAGATGGGGGCGGGGGATACATCCCTGACGAGCCTGCCAACGCCAAGCCCAGATGTTCAGCACTTCAAACCTCCACCCCCAGGCAGCCTTGAGAACTTGGTAGCTCGGACAGCAGCCCGGGCGCATAGCATTGTTTGAAAGGTGTTATTCTGTTCTCGCCAAGTCAAAGAGCAATAAATTGTTTTTATGACCTTATGAGTACAATTTGAAGGGCATTTTAATTACATAACCCGTGAGAGATCACCGGAGGCAATGTCGTGTTAAAGAGCCCTTGGCAGAATATCTGCATCGCACGAGAAAGAGAGAAAACTTGCAAATCTGCAATGAGATTGCGCAGGGCTGCCCCCGTTTTGAAACAACATACGAAATGCAAGGGAGATCTTACCTTTCGGACTCCAAAGCCGTGCTCTGCTGCAACTTGGCGAGCTTCTTCCTCTCCCCCTTTATGCAACTCCACAAGAAAATGATTCGTGAAGACCCTTCTCTCGGCAGATGCAAAAACCATGACACAGAAGAGGAGCCCGGCGGCCGCCTTCCACTGGGAGACACAGCCACCTTTCATCTTTCTTTGAGAGTGAAAAGTGGTGTTAGGACGCGCGCAGGCTGGCGGAGCAGTGGTCCCGCAGGAAAGGTGCAAAATATATATATATATAGTTTTTAAATTGCTTGTTTAAAAAATCTTTGTGTAGAGAAAGACACTGGTTATGGGTTGGAAAGCAGCAAATCAGTGTGTGTTCTCTAGCATTTGGCTGGCAGGGAAGCCGTGTAGTCAGGCAGCCCGTCTAGCTCGCAGAGGTGCTAATGTGGGGAGCTGTGTGTATCTCAGAGAAAGAGCGAGTGTATCTGTGCTGGATGCTAAATCTGCATCTTCAGCTCCTCCTCAGCTCCAATTCCACTGGGGCGGGAGGAAAGCACCAGCCTGGGTGACGTGCGCCCTCCAGCAGCCTTTAAGGGCCGGGGAAGCGGCGGGCCCCGCCCTGGGCCGCCCCGGG